GAATGTCCTAGTTCACCCCCTTTGAGCTTAATATCCCTTCCTTGATTTTTCCTCATTACAAGCCTTGATGAAAAACCATTTTAACCATCCAAAGGAAAAAAAAGCATATTGAATCTAATCAAGGATGAGTTTAAAACTAAGTTTAGGGTGGCATCCAGATTTCTATTGCTTGAGGACAAGCAATGTTCTAAGTTTGGGGTGGAGAATAGCAAAGCTATTTGAGTTATGGTTTCAAAAGGAAAGAAATAAAAAGCAGTTGTGAGTTCAAATGAAAAATATGCAGCAAAGTGCTGCAGAGAAAAGAAAACTAATGAAAGGAATGAAAAGAAAATAGTGAATGAAAGGAAGAAACAAAAATTTAAAATTTTGCTGCATGAATGAACATTATTGTTAATCTGAAAAAAATTATGTTTGCTGCACAATCGAAAGGATGATTGAAAAGTACTGCAGTTCCATGTTAGTTTTAAGTTCATTCACTCAAAATGTCTCTTTTTTTTATATATCCTGAATTGTTTCCCATTTTTTTCAACACCTACCTTAACCTCAACCTCATTATAACCTAAAAAAGTCCTATTGATGTGTGATTGACTGTATTTAAGCAAAGGAGATTGAGAATATGGGCAAGCATATGGTAGGATGAGGTAAAGTTGATGATCTTGAGGGTAAACACTTCTGAGTGAGAGGGAAACATTTTCTTGTGAGTGGTAATGATATTTTTCATTGATGTTTCACATGTAGCTTTGTTGTTCATTAGCTCATATTTGTAAGATTCTGCATGAAAGAATTTTCTTGAGTGTGACTTTTATTGTAATTGAATGCATGAATGATTTGTTGAAGGATAATTGGAAGGAATGATGTGGAATAAAGAATTCTGCACAAACTAAAGATAAAGTCAGTGTAAAAAGATTTTCATTGTTGTTTTAATCATGCATTGAATCCCATTTGGTGTGTTTTGGTTTGCTTGAGGACAAGCAAAAATCTAAGTTTGGGGTGGTGATGAATGCAAATTTTACTAGGCTTTTAAGTAGTTTTCTAAGTTGTTTTTGATAGAAAATGTAATTTGGAAGATGAAAATTGTGCAAAAATATATAAATATTCAATAAAGTCAATATTTGTCTTTAATAATTTAAATTGTGTGAATTTAATAGAATTTTGATGTAATTTTGTTAGTTTTGCAGGAGATTCTAAGCTAAGATCTTGAGGATAAGGATTGAAGAAGATTCAATTGAAGAAAGTGGAAGATTTGAGCTTAAAAGATCAAGAATAAAGTGATATGTGTTGGGCGTAGCAACTTTGAGTGCATAGAGTTAACACTTTGAAGAAGAAAATCCATAAAGATCAAGTGTGTAGCAACTTTAAGTACTCAAAGTAAACACTCCAGCAACAGAATTCATGAAAAGTCTGCGCACAAATTTGAGTGTACACTCTAACTACTGAGAGTAGTCACGCTCAGATTCGAGTGTTCACTAGTCACTTAAAGTAGCCACACGCAAGGCTTATTTGTAATTGAATAATTGTGACAGCAAGATGGTTTAATTATAAGTATACTAAGATATAATACAAATAATATATAATAATAGTAACAATTACTGTTGTTTATTAAGGAAGCAATTAACGTCAACATGTTATGGCACATAAAAAGAAATGAACAAAAGTAGGAGGAAAAGAGAAAGGGAAAAAAATCTCCTTCAAAATATGTCAAAAGTTAATGATTAAGACTCTTATATTGTCCTATTTTTTTAGGATGTTACAGCGTAGGCACTTTTGTCACAAATAGTGAGAACTGCAAAGAATAATATGTATCAATGCAATGCGCAAAACTACTTTTAGAGTGAAAAGTAATTACTTTGTAGGCTTTTAGAGGAAGTGCATGGTGCATGTGATCACTTTTGGGATCAAAAGTAATAATAAAGATTATTTGGAAGAATATAATGCACATGACCACTTTTAGTGGTGAAAGTAGCCACTTTAAAGGATTTTTAGACAAAAAAATAGTGTGCATAAACACTTTCAAGACTAAGTAGACACTTTTAGGAGTAAAAGTGGCTACGAGCAAAGCTTTTTTGTGGAATTAAAAGTGTGTGTAGTTACTTTCAAGACTAAGAGTAGCTGTTCTAGATACTGTGTTTGTAGGAAGCAATGTGCGTGATCACTTTCCCACCAAAAGTGATCAAGCCAGAAACGCGAGAAAATTTATAAATAGCTGCAAACTCATATTTTAGGGAGCTTTTTCTCAAAGTTTTTTTTTCCTTTTTACATCTATAGAGAGTTAGGGAGAGAAGATTGGGGGCGAATTCCAAGTTCTAAATCTTGAGGAATCAAGCTGGGAATTGGAATCATGAAGATCATCTTTAGTTTTTCTCTTTCTACTCTTTCTTTCTCTCATTACTTTATAATGTTGTTCTAATTCTCCTTTGTTAGAGATTTATGAATCCGATTTTGAAATTATAACTTGATTGTGGATTTGAACCCTAAGATTTTGATTGAATTGAGCATTTAATTCTTTCCTTAATGTAATTATTGGATGAACTAGATAATTGAATTGAATTTAGAGGATTTTCATCAATCGAAGTTGAGTTAATTTCTCATATCTGAATTGAATGCCAAAGTTACTAATATACGAGGAATAAGCATTCATGACCTTGAGATCTATTAATTTCTAATACCTAAGACAATGTTTAATTGAATGACATATAGGGTAGTTAATTGAACATTAGGATCATTAAGTCAAGGAATTGAACTATGATTAAATTAGTAAAATTAATCATAAATCAATCAAGAAACTTAGGAGTTCAAAACACATTCAAGTTTGTAATTAATGATTTGGTGAAGCAATCCCTAACTCTATTTCATATATCATTTCAATTTTAAATTTGTAACTCTATTATGCCTTAATTTCTGAAATTTTGCACTCTATTACATTAATGTTTCATTGTTGAACACATCTCTAATTTAGATTAGCTCAAATAACCTTTGCTTTGTGAAGTAGTAATTGAATGAACCAATTCTTGAGAACGATACTCAGAACTTAAGATTCTAAATTTATTACTTGCTACAACCACCTAATACACTTGCAAGTTATACCTCTAAGAGAATGACAAGATACAATGCAGAGGAGCTTGTCATGATTGATAAAAATTAGACTTGAGAACTCGTTAAAAAACCTACACACAGAAAAGTCATTGGTGTGAAGTGAGTGTTTAGAACAAAGCTGAATGCAAACAACTCAATCAACAAACATAAAGCAGTAAATAGGTATGCTTAAATTTTTGGAGTAAATTTCTCTGACACGTTTGCTCTATTAGCAACGCAAGATACCATAAGGATGTTGCTAGCTATTGCAACACATATAGGTTAGAAAATTTGCCAACTTTGATGTCTTGTTAGCCTTCTTGACTGAATATTTGGAGGACTAAAGGCTTCATTGTCAATGAACATGAGGACAAGATCTATCTATTAAAGAAGGCCCTATATGGTTTGAAGCAAGCCCTTGGGAATTGGTATAGCAAGATAGATGAGTACTTAACAAAACTAGACTCTGTTAAAATCTTAGTGAATCCACTTTATACATCAAAGGTGATCAAATTAACTTCATTATTAACTCTTTGTATGTTGATGATCGCTTAATTACTAGAAGCAATGTTGAACTTATTCAACAGTTCAAGGATGATATGATGCAAGTGTTTGAGATGACATACCTAAGAGAAATGTCTTGTTTTGTTGGATGGAGGTTAAACAGAAAGGAGGTAATATCTTCATCTGTTAAAGGAAGTATGCAAATGAGATCCTAAAGAAATTCAAAATGGAGAACTGTAAAAGCATGAGCACTCCTATGTGTCAAAAGTAAAAGCTATGCAAGGATGATGGTTCAAAAGAAGTGGAAGAAACTCTACAGAAATTTAATTGGGTACTTAATGTATCTCACTATAAGACCATATATCATGTTTGTTGTAAGTGTACTGTCAAGATTCATGTATTGTGCAAAAGAATCTCATTTCAAAGTAGAGTATTGAGGTATCTTAAAAGGACCTTAAATTCAAGTTCAGCCAATCAAAAAATTTTAGGTTGTAAGGTTATTATGATAATGATTGGGCAAGATCTTTAGATGACATGAAAAACACCTCAAGCTATTGTTTTAGTTTTGAATCAAAGATATTCTCTTATGTTCAAGAAAACAAGAAATTGATGCACAGTCTATAATTAAAGCAGAATTTATAGCAGAATTTATAACAGTCTTGACAGTGCTAAATGACTTGCATTTAGAGCAAGAGACAACTATTGAGGCAATGGTAGACAATCAAGCAGCCATAGCGATCTTTACAAATCTAGTCTTTCATTAAAAAAAATAAAAAAATAAAGCATTTTATCATCAAATTATTTTTTCTTGGAGACATAAAAAGGAATAGTGCAATGTGCTTAGAGTACTACAAGATTAAAGACTAGCTATCAACTATAATCACAAAAATTCTTCCAAGAAGCAAGTTTGAGTTACTAAGAGAGAAACTTAGACTCACCAACCATTAATACAAGGAGTGCTGAACATGTGTATCAACAATTGCCTCATTTTCAATTTTTATTTTTTATTTTGCTAGCTATTTGACCAAGTTTTTAAGACTATTTCTTTAATTTTCAATTACTCAATTACATTCAATGTTAGCAGCTATAATTTAAAAAAGTTTGTTGTTTTTTAAACTTCTTTCTATTACAAAATATGTATTTAAACATAATACTATTCAAATAAAAATACATGTTCCTCTTCCTTTTGTTTTTAGTGAGTTACGCATACTGCTTTTCTACTAACACTTTGCATTTGGTTATGCCAAACCCGTATCCAAAAAGGTATATAAAACTTAGCAAAGATTATCACCGGCGAACAAGGGAGCACAATCTTAAGGGACATATTGCAAGCACAAATTGTGTAAAATATTAACACAAGTCGGACCACCTATTTAAGAAAAGAAAAAAAAAATCTACTCCAATGGCACACGTGAAGATATTCGAAGGGTATGTAAAAGTGAATCTGTACAAAAAAAAAATTACCATCACATGGTCTTAGTTACCAGAAGCAAATTTCCAATTTACAAAGACAATTATTCACCAGTCTGACTGATGAGCCAAACTGAATGAATGAGCAGAAATGGACCAAAGTTTACAATATTGGGGATCTAACCTCCCATCTTGGCAAAAATTTGGATGGGAAGTACCATGTAATCTGGCAGAACTTTAAGCAACCTCCTGCAGAGATTTCTTCTTGTCTACTGATAATCTAGCAACATCTCGTAAATTATCATTGGGCACTCTTTCATTAAAATGATCTCTGAGAAATTCCACAGCCATGAATGTAAGCGCTGAAGCTGGAATATACCACGTAATCCTGGGAATGCTACCCCTAAACATCCCCTTCACGCCTTCCGTAGCCCATATATTGCAAATTGCATCCAACCAACCAGTATACCTAAACGACAATGTTAGAAAGCAAATTACCATCAATTTAGCTTAGTGCATCAGAAACACGACCACTCCACTGGCAAGAAGACAGCCCTGTTTGTGAGTTTGATAAGAAAAAAATGTTATTCACAAACTATCATTCTGTAGGTGCCAATTCTATTTTGGAAAGTCAAACTCTGTATATGTGCTCACGCAGATCAGTTAATAAAGAAATGTGACTGGTATCCTTGTGGCAGGTATTCATCGTACATAACACTAACCTGCTATCGTATAGTTACTATAGGAATTAATACCTCAAAGTTGAACCCTGCACTTGCAGTCTTGTTTTAACAACATCCAAAGGAGTGGTGAGGTATGCACTGAGACCTGTTCAATTATAGTGAATAATGCTGAGTTTTATTGTAGACGAACATTCAAGCACTTAGGATTAAAGGCAAAGCACAGGACATACCACCAGCTAATCCTCCTAAAACAAGCCCCTCAAATGTATTATTGACATGCCAATTTGGGCTAGGTATCCATCTTTGCTTCCCATATTCTGTAACATCTTTCAAAGCTTCATAGAACATGACCTATGGAAAGAAAACAATTGCATGTACCAGTATTCGAAAGCACAAAAAAGAAAATTGTCGGGGACTTATTTCCCCGGAAACCAAGGTGATCACAAACACAGTGCATTCACTGCAATTGACAGTAAAAAATGCAACAAATTCTTATCCCTTATACCTGAGAGGTTAAAGAAAATTTTTAACAAATCACAATTTTACATGGCTGGGGACTATATACAGAACCATATTTAGCCCGTGTTTGCTGTAAAATTTCTCCATCAAATTATCAAATATCAACCATTTTCAGTTGCATGGAAAACAAGGATAAATGCTACCAGCATTTTTTCTTTGCTGTCTTTTGTTTAAAATGCTCAAATAATTTACTACGAAGAAAATATTTTTTCCAGATATTATAATTTCCATGATAATACAGATTTGAGGTACATATAATATGAATGTAGTGTTCAGATAATACTTTCACTTTACAATTCATCAAAAGTCATTTCAAATGAAAGAGTTCACAAATGCGATATGGTAGGCTTTAAAAATAATGAATTATCAAAGATAATATGAACTTAAAGCTTACACTAATATAGTAATATCACTCCAAACAAATTTCATAAGAGCATTCATTTAGCATTCTTTTAGATTCCAAATATACAGGATGAAAAATATGCTTTTTAATCCCAGAAAATTGTTACAAATAATCTCCTTGGTTTTTCCAAGTGCAATGTCTTTTAGATCTAAAATAACATTAATATTTATTTAGTGCTGAAACAAGTATCAGACCAAAAAAGGAAAGAGCATCAACATACACAAAGGTTGCAATATGGTACGAGTAAGAACAGAAGATCAGCACCCTATATCAGCTCTATGAAGACCATACTTGAAAGTGACAAATAAGAAGATGCCTTAGTCATGTAAGACAATGGACTTTTAATCAAAATGAATAGGGACCAAATAAAATGTTGTAATGTACTTAAATGAAAAAAGAACATAATATAAAAGCCTGAATGAAGTAAAACTGTGTGGGTTATATATGATACCATTAGGCCAGCAAATGGAACATCCCTTGCCAGTGTAGACAAATATCTGCACATACGTGAAAAATAAGGAATTAAAATTATGAGACCAAAAATAGAAACACATTTAGAATTTAATAACTGACTCATTACAAATGGATAAAGACTCATTTCACAGCACATTTCCTGTTCAAAAACTCAAACATGAAAATATACAAAACAAGAATAAATCATGAAAAGGATGACTTATTGGTACGTAAGATACTATATATTATCTAGTGCAGTTCTTTTCAAAACTACTAAATGAGAAAGAGGGCCTCTGTTATTTGTGAGTTGACAAACACAAGATTCAATCATCAAAAGAAAATTAGTGTTTCTAGCATATACCCTGCATATATGCCCTTTAAGCCCTGCGTTTTCCATATTGAGCTGCCAGCATGGAACATCCCTGTATAATAACCATACATTTGTGTGCTAGGTTTCATTGCAATTCCATCCTTCATGGCAACAGAACTCCAAGATGTAATTGTGCCTTGAATTTGCATGCGTTGCTTGATCACTTCACATGGAACATACACAAAAGAACCTAGAGTGTCTCCTGAAAATAGAGAGAAAAGTAAAGCAGAATTTGAGAGCTTTATTGCATACACAAAAGGTTAAAATTGTCATAAATCATGATTACAAAACCTTCAAATTTAGCAACAACAATAATAAGTCAAAAAAGCATGATGACATTATGGTAGAGCTTGGTCAAACATTTTTTGGGCTTCTCTTCTTAAAAAGAGAAGCTAAGTCAAACATATTTTTTGATAACCTATAAAAAATAAAAGTAGGCATTTTTTAGTGAAGGAAAGGCTAATTGGAGAAGAGTGTACTTTTACAAAGAAGTGGAGCCAGAAAAGCTAGGCCAATTGCTACCTATGTAAATATGTTGGATGCGCATGACCACCATTGATGTCCAAAAAGGAAAACTCAGACAACATATTATAAGTTACTTAGAAAATTATACATATACGAAAATAGAATCGGCAGTATGTATCAGAAGAAGTTATGGTAGGAAAAAAAAAAAAAATTGGCATAATCAGATGGATTACATTACAATGTGCAATTGCTTTCCTTTACATGGTGAGTCAAAATGTACAACTTCTCAAAATCAGAAAATACAAAAGCATTACCAATTTACTGTTAGGTGCTTCAAATCAGCTTACCAACAGCTCCAGCAATGAAATGTGCCCAATGGCCCCTAAGGCTAGGATGTGAATCCTCAATCCACTTTTTTGTGGACTCTATGACACCAAAATATGTTGCACCAGTTGCAAGAGATCCAGTAATACCAGGTGTTACACCCCTGTAAAAGCCTACAAAATATTAAATCAATCACAAGGTACACATATTTTCAAATTAATAGTTCAAAAGTGTATGTTAGAAGAATCATGAATAAGTTTAAATAGAGAAAAAATAAGTATAAAGGTTATCAGTCATCTATCAAAATGCATCTTGATTTTGATCATTTTGCATCCAAAATAGGCTTTCCAATCAAAAGCTCTCGCTAAGCTTTTCTGAAAGGAAAATAAATTAATCCAAACATACAATAAATGTCATTTAACATGAGGAAATTTCGTCGTTAAAAACCATAAAGAAAATCCATAGCAGGAACAAAAATATTAAATGATCAAAATAGTGTACCTCTGAATCCATCAAGCTGCCAGACAGATCGCACCATCTGCAGTATGTTTTTCTGGTTCTAAAAGAACAATGATGTTAACAAAGGAGAAAAGGTTTAGATGGAACCATATATGATCAGAAACTTCTTAAATGTGTGTGCTATTTCTAATTTATCTATAGGCGGCCATTATACCTGAACTCCATTTAGAATAGCTTGACTTTGTATTCTAGTTTTAATAGTATCCACCGGATGCATCATTCCTTCCCCAAAAGCACCCGCGACAGCTCCCCACACAAACTCTCTCCATACTTCCACAATATCATAAGGTAAGAAAATTAGTTCTATAAAATTTGATTTCCTAGCGACAGTATAGCTTTGCTACGGAAGGATGAATGAGAAAACGAAAGAGGAGATTAAATGATAAAAAGGGCACAATGCAAATAGATAAAGTGTCAGTTCCAAATTTTCTAGGAGGTTTATATTATACCTCTCCCAACCAAAACCCAAATACATAATTGAATCAAGCTCAGCCTACACTCACAATACAACAAAAACAAAGCCTCATCATACCATCTGAGGTCGGTTACATAAATCACACGATGTCACTAAACTCGGTTGAAAAACAAATTCTCCAAGATATTAATCAGTCAAAAACAATTGAATTGAGCTCAGTCTACACACATAGTATTACTATAAATTTTAGTATATGCATTTATCTGTTTGGACATAATGCTAGGCCTAGCCATCCATTCCACGAATTATTTAAACCAAGCTTGTAGGTATTATGAGCCATAATATTGGATCTCACATAAGCACATTTCCAGCAAATAACTTAATCGTAAAAGCGCAACAACAAACCACACACTTTATGCTAATGCCACGAGGCCAAGACTCATGACTCAAACAATCATATCTAAATTTGTCTATTAAAATTCTTAATCACCCGTTGGAATGTGGAAAAATCAAGTATATTTATGTGCTTTGGGTTCGTTTCATAATAATACATCACTTGGACATTAGATAGATGATTTCTGCCAATAATTAGTAATTTATCTTAATGACCATGGAGATTATTTTTTGCGCTCTTAGTTACAGAATTTGAAATGCTGAGAATAAAAGAAATCATATAATTGTTAATTAGCAACTCGTTATTTTTATTGATTAAATGAAACCTAGCAGCGAGTAACATGCATACGAGTGAGACTGTCTACGGAATCAACGGCTTACCAAAGAAATGGCCATTCAAAACATTCTTCGAAGCTTGAGCTTCGCTGAAAGTGGGGCTCTGAACAGCCATTGAACTAGTAGCTAGCAACTTCTTGTCTAGGGTTTTTGTAAGAAAAAGCTGCAAAATAAATTAATTTAGTTTTCTTATATAATAACTAGTAAACATCAAAAATGTTAAATAAAAATTTTGATTATTTTTAAAAATAAATTATCTATAAAAAATAAATATAACAATTAAAATTAATTTATATATGACTTTAAATATTATAAATTTTAATAACAATAATTCAATTATAAACTAGTAAATATATTTGTATGTTACATAAATTTATTTATATTATTTATTAAATTATTTTATTTTAAAATAAATAAAAAATTATAATGTAAATATAAAAATTTTATTATTTGTAATAAGATAATTGTTATAAGGAGTGTCTACCATATTAAAAGAATATAATTTTTAAATTTAAAAATAAAATATTAATTTTAACTTAATAATTTTTATAAATATTTATCTATAATATATGCATGCACTATATATAAAATAAAGAGTTTTATAAATAATTTACATGTAATGTATGAATTTTTTAATCATTTTTACATCAGCTGTTTTAGTTATGTAATAATTATAATAATATTAAAATTTAAAATAATAATAAAATATATTCATTTAATTCATTATTTTTCATTAATCAAATATTAATTATCAGTTTTTAATAATAAAATTTAAAATAAATTATTAATATGAAAATTTAAAATTACTTTAAATTTTGTAAAAATAAATACATTAATATGTTAATATTAAAGTTACAAACACTAAATTAATATTAATTCTTATTCATTTTATTGTTGGACATTTTTATTTAAATATTGTTAATTAAAAAACAATTTATTAAAGTATGGTGTTTTTGAAACAATTTTTCAGTCTAAGGTGATTTTGCCACGTGTGCATAATTTTTGCTAAAATAGCTGGCGAAATATAAATTTTGTTAAAATATTTATTAATTAATTTCGTCATATAAAACGCGAAACAAATAAGATCGAACCACGTGTTAGAGAACAAATAGTTTTGTCAGTCAAAAGGCAAAATTAAAAGTCAGCTTCGCCACTGCCAACGTGAAACTAACAAGAGAGTGACACATGTCGTTAAGAGGGCACTGTTTCGCCAAAGAAAGTGCGAAAGTCATAAAATAAATAAAAAAATTTAAAATGAACGGTTGGGGAGCATTTTAGACACGTGACTACATCGTAGCATTTTTGCTACTGTCATGGCAAAATTGTGTTTCGCCTAACCTATGAAGAAACCATTCAGTAAATGACACATGTCCGGCTGTTCAGAGACGGTGCCCACCCTTCTTCCCATTCTCCTCCATTGCGTTTCTTATTTTTTCATCTTCCCGTCACCGTCATCCTCCTAAAACCGATGATTGAATAATTTGGTTTTTGCATTATTTGTGCTAAAAATTCTCAAAATTTACAAGTTTATTAGAAGTAATAATCATTATTTCTATTTTTATATGTTAATTTATGTTTTATATGTTCTTAAAAAATTTGAAAAGTTGAAAATTTTGAATCATTAATTTTCTTGTAATTTTATGCAGTGAGTGAAATGCAGTAAAAAATTGGGCTGAAAGTTTATTAAGGTTAGTAAAATAATTTAGTAATTTAAAATTTTTCATTAATTTGTAATATGTTTTTAAAATGTAATATTATAATTTCTTAAAATTAAATTGTATATAATATGTTTGTATAATATTATTAATCATATTATATTTGTTATATATATATATATATATATATAAGAATAGAAAAAATACAAAATTAGTTAAATCAAATAATATAATTCTGTATTTAAATAATGATTTATATTTAGTTTTATTGTAATAAATAAATTGTACACCTAATTATTAATTTAAGTATAATATAAAAATTGTATGAAGTACATGTATAAATTGTAATTATTTAAAATATAAAATAAAAAATAATTTGTTTGTAAATAAATAGATTTATTTTATTAAAAAGCATAACATTATTTATATAAATTTTAGTATAAACATTCTTTTATTTAGTTTAATTGTAATAATTAATTTTTACATCCATTTAATAATTTGAGTATAATTTAGAAATTTAGATTTTGTTATTATGCAATTCTTGTAGATTTAAAATGAATATATGATAAAATAAATTTAAAAAACAAATTGTATCTAAATAATTATATAATAGTTATAATATTATATGAAAAATAAATATAATAATTATAATACATATATAATAGTAATATGTATGAAAATTTAGATGGTGGTATAACATTAGTGATATTAAAATAATTGTTAATGTAAATGTAATATAAAGTATGTATTAATAATTATGTTAGAAAATAATGAATTAGTATTATTGAAATGGAAAATTAATACTAATATGTTTTTTCTTGTATAGATGGCATCATCTTCACGAAAAAGTAGGATTATTAATCCTGACTCAAAAGATTCATCACTTCTTCGGTTTTAGAGTATTCATGTTTCTGAGCATATTTGGGATACACATGATCACCCGATTTTGAGGGTCAGGAAGAGTCAAAATATTCCTGGTGGACTTGTAACATCCTACATTTTGATTTAAATAAAATGAGGTTTGTTAAAGTATAAATTGGAATAGATTTGGATAAAATTTATATATTTTTATAAAAAAAAAAAAAAAAGTGAACAGTAAAACTGCCGATGAACAGTAAACCGCATATGAACAGTGAAACTGCCTATGTACAGTGACGATGATGTCACATCCGCGTACAGTACGCGTACAATCCGTGTACAGTACGTGTGCACAGTGTTTTCAGCATGAACAGTGACCACAAACAGTGTTTCAGGCATGAACAGTGTTTCCAGCGATGAACAGTAAATTCTGGCGGTGAACAGTGACTTTCAAAAATTTTCTATAAAAGGGAGTTTCACACGAAATTTTTATTTTTTCACTCCTATCCAAGGTTCTCAAAGGTTCTAAGGTTATATTTCACTATTTTCTCCCATAGTAAACATCCTAAACTTAGATTTTTCTTCAAATCTGTGATTCTACGTCCGTTCTAAAGGATTTCAAGTAAGTTTCTCTAAGTTTGAAGTTATATTTACCGTTCGTTTCTCTTCTTCTTCTTCTTCTTCTTCTTCTTCTTATAGATGTTCATGATGTTCTTAGGAAAAACTCCGTTCTAGAGTTTAAATCTTCGGTTAAATCTTTGTAAAAGCTCTGTTTTGAGGTAAGGGGGCTCTACTTTATCATTTTGTTATGTTTATTACTTGTATTCTCATGGATCTTGTCATGTATGTGATTATATGTGGAATAATCCTTGTTTTATGAGAAATAATCAGTGAAAAGTGAGAATAATTGGCTGTTTATGTGATTTTATAATGAATACATGGTGAAAATGTGATATTATGTTCAATTAGGGCATGATAAAGTATATTGAGGATGGTTGATATGATTTTGTGATATGAAATATACAACGAGATGGATGTTTCATGTTTGAATATATTGTGTTTCATGTAAAAATGATGTGTATTGTGAATATGCCATGGTTTGATGTATATGATGAAAAAGTATGTGGAAATATGACAAAAAATATGTGTGAACATGAGAAATGGCATATGTGAACATGTGAATATACTCGAAAGACTATGAGATGGAAAAAGGATATGATGTAAATAGTTACAGAGATACACTGGGAGAGTGGAAGATGGAGACGATATGGAATATCTTGGGAAAATGTAGGGTGGTGAGTGACATTCGGGATTGTGCACGGAATATTGTGTTCGAATGCACCACATGGCCACACACTCGTTTCCCGACTTGACTCCTGACCATTACCTTTGCTAAGGGGCTGTCTATTACATGCGTTGTATCCGTATTGCATTGGGCAATCCGGCGACTATTTACATGGATGTGTAAGATCTCGGGATAAAGGCATCGGATAACTGTGACCACAGGGCGCGGTAAGCGCGGATAAAAGTAAAAGAAATTGTGAATCTATGGAATGTAATATGTGTTGAGATGAGAATATGCTTTATATGACACCGTGATATGTAATGCCATGATGTTTTCTTTAATCGTGATAAGATGTGTTTTGTGATGAATATGTGTAATCTATGAGTGGTAGGGTAGAGACTCACCCTTACACAACATTTTTCAGGAAACCAAGACGAGTAGTACCAGGTGTTACTCTTACAACTGTTGTTGCACTGAAAGTAAACTGACTAGCAAGTGTACTAGTGTTGTTGTAGCAAGTTATAAAAAAATCTTAGAATCAAATTGAGTTCCAAGTATCGTCCTTAGGGAATAAAGTTCTCAATTACCACTTCACAAGATCACAATTAGTTGAGCTTTATAAATTTCAAATGGATTTGGTATGAATGTATCAAAAATGAAATTAGAAAGTAAAACAAAACGATTAGTACAAAAGTATATAGTAAACAAATGTAGAAAGAGTAGTTAGGAAATTGTTTCACCAAAACTTCAACATTGAATCAATAAAGTTCTGAACTTTCAAGCATTTAGATGAAATGACAATCAGTTTCACGTTATATTAATCAAAGGACAATCCCTTGCCTCAATGAATCTAACATCTAATCAAATCACTCTAATCCCTTAGATCTAATCCAATCAAATGTTGCATTAAGTTTGAGAAACCAAAAGATTGCAAGATTAAGATATCTTATCCCTAAGAAACCAATAACCTTGGCAATTAATTCAGATCTGAGAAACAAATTCAATTCCCATTGATAAGAGTTCCTCTATGATTAGTTGATCAAATTTCCATTCAATCGCTACTTTAACAGCAGAATCAATCACTCAATCCAATCCAAAACTCAAAGTTCAGATCCAAAATCAATTCAACATTTCCATTTCAGATTCACAGTTCCTAACCACAAAGAGTTTAAGCAAACATTACAAAAAGAGAAGAGGAGAAGAGAATGAACAAAGAAGAAACATCTTCAAGCCAATCTCCAATCTGATCCCTCAAGAAATGAAGCTTGGTATTCGTCCTCAATCTCCCCCTCTTACTCTCTCAAGAACAAAAACAAATGGAAAATGAAAAATGAACAAAAACTCCTAAATTCCTGAGCTAAC